GGAAACAATTCACACAACCTCTACGTAATCGATCAAGTGAGTACGTGTTTGCTTGCTGCGGGATTACCTCCGTGTTACTGGTCTTTCGAATTGAAATCAACGTGTCATTTGCTCAACGTCAAAATCGTCGACGGGGACAGCGCATGGTGCAACATGCATGAAGATCACTTCGGTGGTGCGCAAATACCATTGGGGGCACATGTCCACTTCAAGCCATCTCCGACGAGGGACACCACCCGCAAATTCGAGCCCAGATATGAACCCGAAAGCGGGATGAGATGGAGTGGGAAAATGCTCGTGTTGGAGCTGGACAAGTTTCTGGACGCTGATCTAAGCATGGCGTGCAAAACTGTGCCAATGATCTTACGAAAGCCTCACATAGTGGACAAGGTCGTGATGGTGTCACCACTCGCTTTTCCGCTCAAGAACACGTTTGAGAAGGTGAACGGGGATCTAGAGGCCACGATAGAAGCATCATGGGAGAAGGAAACTCGAGAAGCCCTTCAGGATGTGTCCGGAGGTGACGAAGACGATGGCGACAGAGGAGGTGATGATCCGGACGGGGATCCCCCGGACGGAGGTGGAGGGAAAGGAAGTGCCAAATATCGGTCGAAAGAAGTGAAGGAGAGGTTCGGTATTGACGACACAATAGGAGATGATGATGAAACCGCTGGAGTTGAAGAAAGGCCGACCGAGACACCCGTCGAACCTGTTGAGAAGCCTCCAAAGGGTAGTGTGTCAAAACACAAAGGGGCAAAGGGTGAGATCCCAATGCCTCCCGGGCTTGAGCCCGGATACCACAGATAGAGTCGGAGAGACGACAAAGTGGTAGTGTTTCAAACTACAAATGCCAAGGGAGGACCCAAATGGAAAGATGTTGTGGGACGTACTACGGTGAACAGCGAAACAGCCGAAGTACTAGACTGCATTCGCATCGACCCAGGGGAAGGTCAATAATTCTACAGAACAGTGATAAAAGATGGGGAAGAGGTATCGATCGATACATATATTTAGTACATGTTTGCAGCAAAAGAACCTGTCAAACCATCAGACGAATGTGAACACGTCAGCAAGGGTAAGCCCGGCGACGGAATAATCTACGTTGATGAGCATGGAAGGAGAGTGAAGCTGGACGTGAAGGGAAGGCCATATGAAGTTGGTATCGATGGTAGGAGAGCCCTCAAATCTTCACGACCACGCAGCATTTCTCCGGAAGAGTGGAAGAAGATGTCCCATGTAGACCGGATGTTGTGGGAATTTGCTTCCGCCGAAGTGGAGAGAGACATCAAAAAAGGGGTAGAAAACGTATCATAAAGGCCGAAAAGAAGAAGAAACAAGCCAAGAAGTCGAAAGACGACAAAGACGCTGCTGCGGCAAAAGAGTACATGAAGAAGGCAAAGCAACTACGGAAGAATGTGCTTCAGAATACCCACAACCAAGACAGCGCACAAAGCGAAGACATGAGAACAGAAGTTGGATTCCGCCTGGTGGAGGACAAGTGGGGTGACGGCGATTGGGTCAGAAATCCGGTCGAGCCATGGGTTTGCAAGGACCCCAAACAATGGCGCAAATTGGCAAATAATGCCAAAGCACGGGATACGAAAGTGATCGTGACCCTCCCCAAGTTCAACAGAATTCTGACAATGCGATCATTGGAGACAGACACTCCGGTGCGTGATGATCTTGTGCAGGAGGGTCGTCACGGAAAGTGAAGTCTGGCTTTACTGGCAAGAAGCCGATGTCCCTCATGCTGCGTCGTGTAGTCGGTATGAAGATGACGAAGACATGTGGAACGATTATGTCAGCACACTTGAGGTTCACACGTTGGAGGATCTAGAACCTAACAGTTGGGAGGATGGCACACCCAAGATGCCTTGCATTCCGTGCTGCCCCACTCGCCGGGAAAAGTTGAAAGAGAAATCCCCGCGATTTTTACAATGCGACGGTTTCAAGACCCGTGGGTAAGAAAGACATGCTTTTGAATGGTCAGGTCTACACAAACAGTGCGTATTTGATATGAAGAATGCCCGAGAGATGCATGACGTCCGAGCGGAAGCTCGCCGTCTCGAGGCAATCCTTCATTTCGCCAGGGTGCATGGCGTTATGGTGGAAAGAATGAACAATTGCCACATGACGACCCACGAAGAAAGCTCAAATATCGTGTCGTGTTGTTGGGCAACCAAGTCAAGGATCAAGACATGGCTGATGCTATGTTTCACGATCTGGGCAACAGCCCTGCTACATTCAAAGCTTCCCGTTGGGCGGATTTCCTGGGGTGCATCAATGGTTGGGAAGTTGAAGTTCGCAGTCCAGGCTTACATTCAGGCATACATTCAAGGGCCTGCCTTGTGGGTGGAGCTCCCAAGGGAGGGCTGGCCGGAAGATGGAAGCTGGAACAAATTCCGACGACCATGAGAACGGTGAAGGCCCTCTATGGCTTGTCACAAAGGGGTCACTGCAGTTGGATTCGAGCTTGTGGGCGCGGAATGGCCATCCGTGCGCGTTCACAAGGAACTCAACTTGCCGTTAGTGGTCTACGTGGATGATTTCAAAATGGCGGGACCCAAAGACACTTAAAGAAGGGATGGGATCTCCTTCGGACACATCTCAGCATCGAACCCGAGACTGGGCTGGGTATATAATTAGGTTGCAACCAAATCAAGGGGGCAGCTAGACTGGGGGGGGTACCAGTCAACACGGTTACTCATGATATGGAAGAATTCCTCACGATGTCCGTGCAAAAGTATCGAGACATCGTCGGGAACCATGTCAAACTTAAGGATGCCAAGACACCTTCGCTTCCGGAGGATGCGAAGTATCAAACATAGCTTCAATCCCGATGTCCCGTTTACTCGAGACGAGACGGCCGAGTCGAGTGCGCAGAAGCTCGTGCAGGGTGAACTTGCGCCGCACGCAGCCAGCATGCTCATGAAACTACGATATGCGGCACGATTGGCCAGGTTTGATTTGCTCCGACCTAGCGCGACATGTCACCAAATGGAGCAAAGATGACGATAAGCGACTGCATCACTTGATATGTTATGTCATTTGGTCCAAAAGAAAGAAGATGATTGGAGGGGTCGGTGATCCATTGGATCAGATTCAAGCGGCCATGTATGCAGACGCGGACTTGTCAGGGTGTACGGACTCCCTACGCTCAGCTTCAGGATGTCAGGTCAACTTGCGTGGCAAGAACACCAGGTTTCCGTTGGTGGGCAACAGCAAACGACAAAGTTGCGTGAGCCACTCAACCCCAGAGGCAGAAATCGTAGCAGCAGATACCACTGTAAAGAATCAGGGGTTACCCTGCGCGGTATTTTCGGAGGGAGTAGTTCGGCGACAACCCAATGTCATATTGCACGATGACAATCAGTCCATGATTGCTGTTGCAAGGACTGGGAAGAATCCAACAATGCGGCATTTGGAAAGGACCCACGGCACAAGCATTGCCTGGCCCCATGAAGTGTTCAAAAGACAAGAATGCGCTCTTGTCTACGAGCTATCTTCCAAGATGGCAGCCGACATTTGCACAAAGGCTTTTCGCAATCCTGTTCGTTGGAAGCGCGCGTTCGTGTTGGTGAATCTGTTTGACCAGGGTGATTTGGACGATCCGGCAACGCTGGAAGCGTTGATGCCGTCTCATGACGCCGAATCTGGGCAGCTCCAGGTTTATGGGCAGATGGTGGATGATGTTCCGGCATTTCCACATACCCAAGCCATTTTGCCAAAAATGGAGGTGTACCGTCCAGGAATGACGTCCAAGGTTGGACTGCATGAGCGTGAGGGGGTTCCTTTGTTCTTTGTGGCAAAGATGCCCAGACACAAGAAGACCCGACCCGCTAAGCTTTTCATGGGATTCTCACATCGCCAGGTGTAGTTTCTCGATTGAGTTGCTGCCATTTCCAAACGGAAAACAAGTGACGAGCCGGCCCGCGTGTTGATAATGTCGCTTTTAACCTTCTATATGGGACCAACTATTCGCTGGCTAGATGTCTGCCTCTGCACGGAGAGGTCGAAAACGATCTGCGCCGTGCGGGGGGTGTGAGTAGAACGCATGCGACAGGTCAAGTAGAACCATACACACGTGTGGCCATGTTTGGCTCAAGGCTCAAGTCTCCCACATAACTGGGACTTAGGTCATGGTTCTGTGCAAAGGATAGCAGACTTCTCCAGCAAAAAAAAGTGAAAGTAATTTCGAGCTTACTGTGCGACCGCGGCTCCTATTCGGTGCTTTTGCGTTCGTATTGCGGGGCAGACCACACAGGTCTGCTGGGTAACATTACAGTTTCCCATCGATTCTGCCCGTCCGCCAGACCCGCGTGGGGGCAAAGCTGGCAGCGATCTCGCGGCTGGTCCTCTCCCGCCAGCGCGCCGCTTTCCTCAATTGGAGGTTCCTCTAAAACTTTTGTATTTTTGGGGATGTTGGGGGCGTTCTATGCTGCAGGGGACAACCTTTGATAACCCCCACTCTCTACAGTTGGGTGAAATTAACCCCCATTTTGGCATCGTCGTATCCTTCACCACCCGCATAAAGGGAGTTGCGCCATCTTCAGGAGCTGCCTGCTGGCTTTGCCGCGGAGATTCTCGCGATAGTGAATCCGAAGGCGTGGCGAAGCAGCGCAAGACGGGGAGTTTCTCAAAACAGGGATACCCTCAAAGGCCCAAGAGATCTGGGATGATTTTTTGAGAAACACCCGTATTTTGAAGTGTTTCAAATTCTCAGAGTCTCTTGGCGGGTGTAATGTAGAAACCGTTCAAGACTAGGAAGATCTTTTACGACATCCCCTTGGCCAGGAAGGGCCAAAGGGCCCATAGAGCCCAGGAAGCAGATTCTCCCACCGACAAATCAACAAGTCGGGGCCCTTTCGCGCCGGAGGGTTCGGACCTGCAACTGTTACTGTAGAGCCCCCCCCCCCCGTGTTCCGTTTGGTTACACCTTGACCTTTGCACTACCATTCATATCTCGGCTCAAGGCCCTTTTTGTGTACACACCATACTCATAGCGAGTGTAGCAGAATACAGGATTATATAGCAAAAAGATCCAGGGACCACATACACGACCTCTACTACCACAGGGTACCAGTTCCCTTCTGGGATAGGGACCCCCGGCAGTGGCTCAATTGTGGTAGCGGAGCGGGTTTTCCGCAGAGATCCGAAGAAATGTCATCCGATGGAGAAGGCTTCATGGAGGCCTATTCAAGTACAGCCCGATCATCAGGCTATACTGAGGAGACACTCAATCTATCGATGACCGCCAAGCAGCCGCCATCGTACGATGGAAAAGTCAGCTGGTTCAGGTATGAAGAACTCGTGGACGACTGGGTGACAATCACCACGGTGGAAGCACCCAAGAGAGGACCACTCCTTAAGAGCAGACTCATCGGAGATGCTTACATGTACAAGGCAGTCCTCCAAAATGACCTTTTGCAAGATCCTGAAGAAGAAGTCAACTACTTCAAGAACACGCTGAAGAAGTACTTCCTGAAAGGGACTACAAGCGTGTATTTGCACAGGCTCCTCAGTTTCTTCAATCACCGAAGGCAGAACCAAGAGTTCCTCATTTTCACATCCAAATTCGAAATCCTTCTCATGAGATTGAAGGCAGCATGGATGGACTTGATGCCCGTTTTCACGGCACAGTCCCCATCATTTCGACAGTCCGTACAGGACGCAAACAACAGAATAATTGCTCGGCATCAGCAACAAGCCAATGTCAGAGCACCGCCTCCAAACCTGCACAATGAGGATGATCCGGTAGTCCTCAGACAGTGCATCACAGGAATGCAGGACAGACAGCGAGACGCATTTCCCTTCGGGGGTAATCGTTTTTCATCATCCAGAGTGAATTGTCAGATCAGCAGAGAGAGAGACTGACCAGTGCAATGTCATTGAGAAATATTTCACTCGAGAACTACTCCTATGAGATGCTGAAGACGCATTACCATGAACTCTTCATCACGACCAGAACATCCATCCAAGATCCATCCATCCGACCTCAGGGAGGCAACCGAAGCAACACATTCTTCATCCTCGAACAAGGAGAATACGAAGGAGAAGAAGGCTTTTGGGTTGAAGATGAAGATGGAATTGAAGGATTCATGTCGAACAACGATGAAGAGACATTCTGGGTCCTCGAGGAGAATGGTGCGTTCATAGCAAGAAAAGTGTCGGGGCGGAATTTCAGATTCAAAAAGAGAAAAGGAAAAGGAACATCAGGAAACAAGAAGGGCAGTCACCAACGAGGTGGCTTTAAACCTTTCGAAAAAGCGGTTCTGGCGGGAAGGCCAATATGGCCAATGAAAATTATGATCCCTACGACCAGGCATATTGGGGAAAAGGCAAAGGAAAGAAGGGAAAGAAAGCAAAATCCATGGGTGGGCGGGTGGGTGGGTGGGTGGGTGGGTGGGGTGGGTGGGTGGGTGGGTGGGTGGGTGGGTGGGTGGGTGGGTGGGTGGTTTGGTGGTTTGGTGGTTTGGTGGTTTGGTAGTTTGGTGGTTTGGTGGTTTGATTGTTAGTTAGTTTCTTTGTTGCGCGGGTTCTGGCTGCCTCCCAGTGGTGGGAGGTTCTCAGTGCAGCGGAAGGGCATCACGTTGACCCAGTTGAAGCGGCATGTGTGCCCGGTGATCACTGAATTCACCCAGGCGATGTGTCTGGTACAAGCCACTGCTTTTCATCTTACGAATCTTGCGTATGGGGAAAAATATTGCTCAAGAAGTGAGCCCAGTTTACCCAAGTATAGGCTCACAATCCCATGACTCACTTGGAGTGAGCCCCCCCCAAAAAATAAACGGGGCCAGGACGCACAAAGCGCGGTTCTTCGGGTCCGGCGCTCGGGGTCAGCAGACCGGGCAGAGACCGGCAGTTGAGAGACACGGGATTCCTGAACAGGTGGGTGAGGGAGTATTGTAAACCAACCATGAGCCCGCTGAGATGCCCAATAGTAGGTAAGCGGCCGCTGCTGAACGAATTGGTTCGCGGTTGGTTCCCTTGAAAAACTGGACCTCATTGCAGCACCCGAAGCCGCAGGCAATGGTCGGTCAAAAATTGTTGTCAGGCCACTGGCGCAAGTGCGCCTCCAAAGGAGGATGCTGAGGCTGCGGGGTGTGTTGAGGCGCCAATGCGCAAGGTGGCACGGGAGAAACCAAAACCTTTGGCGTTCCCCTAGTTCACGAGGCCATAGTCAACTGGAAGCTACTGTCAACTTCGGATTTGTTTGGAGGACGACGGGAATGGCACTATTGAGGGCTGGCTCCCTCATTTAATGTGCGGCTGTGTCAATCTAAGGGGGGCCTTCCAATTTGATTTGCATGATCCTCTGGAAGCTACTGTGAATTGATCAGGAGAGTGTCGCTGGAATGAAAGGCGATGAAAGGCCGCAGGTTTCCTTTGTACACAAACTGAAGATTTGGTCAAGCCGCTTGCTCCTCTCCATGCCGAAGTGTTGTCATGAGTTTTGCTTTCCCAGGCGGAAGCGAAGAAAGATGCGGAATAGATGCACCAAAAAGTGGCGGCAGATGGACGGATGGATCATGGATCAACGGACAAACGCGCACGGACGGACAGAGGGAGGGTGGATGGATGGATGGATGGATGGATAGATGGATGGATGGATGGATGGATGGCATTTGAGGTTGTTTGTTTTCCCCCCAAGACTTCTGCGCGTGCGATTCTGGAGCACAGGCTCAGACTTCAAGGGCTTAGCATCAACGCAGCTTATGGCGTCCGTCGGCCCTTGCCTGCAACTGGAGCAGCCGAAGCTGGCATTTGACCAGAAGGCACGGCCCGACAAGGGGAAATGAAACTGGTTTGGCCTTGAAGCTCGCAGAGCTTTGAAAGCTGTCCTGCCCCTCTTGTAGTATCACAAAGCAATGGCTTCTCACAAGATTGGTTTTTATTTTGATGTTAAGAGTTAAACATGCATTTCAGCACAGGCATGAAACATTTGGAGCTCACTGCGTTCCTGCTTCCGCTGTATTGTGGAAGCCTCATGGCAGGTGGTTGGGTGTCCCTTCAAAAGGTTCCTTCATGTGTCACGATGCAAACACATGCCTGCCGTTTGTGTTAAGGCTAAGGGGTCGGGCCCCGAGTTTTTTTCCCTAGGTTTGGCGCGGCCATTTTGCTGCGTAGTGCTGGGGTCTGTCTCCCGGTCGGTCGGTCGCCCCCGGTCGGTCGGTCGGTCGGTCGCCCCGGTTGGTCGGTCGGTCGGTCTCAGTCGGTCGGTCTCAGTCGGCGGGTCGTCGGTCGGTCGGTCGGTCGGTGGATTGGACCAACCCTAAACCAACCCTAAACCCACCTAAACCAACGTCAAACACCCTTGAATATCCGTAAACCAGCCCTTGACCAGACCTAAGCAAGCCCTAAACCAACCCTAAGCCAACACTAAACCAGCATAAGCCAATCCTAAACCAGCCTAAACCCGACACCAACCCTAAACCACCCTAAGCCAAACCAACCCTAAATCAACCCTAAATCAACCCTAAAGTCCTAAACCACCCTAAACCAACCCTGACCCAACCCTAAACCAACCCTACACCAACCCTACACCAACCCTCAACCCTAAACCAACCTAAATCAACCCTAAACCACCCTCAACCAACCCTAAACCAACCTAAACCAACCAAACCAGCCCTAAACCAAACCAGCCCGCCCTACACCAACCCTGAACCAACCCTACACCAACCCTGAACCAACCCTAACCCAACCCTAAACCAACCTAAATCAAGCCTAAACCACCCTAAGCCAATCCTAAACCAGCCCTACTGGGATAGGGTCGTACTCATAACTTGAGTTATAAGTTACTACAAGTGGACTTATAACGTGGGACAAGTGGACTTATAAGTTTGCTAAGTCCGAGTCCTAGTTATAAGTTACTTGTCTAGGGTTAACTTAGATAGGCCCACTTAGAAGTTCGAGCTAAGTTCCGGGTGCCGGGACTTAGAATGAACTTAGCTGGGACTTAGTTTTTTTCACCATTTTAGGAAAAACAGTTTTGGCATCCAGCGTTTGCGGAGCAATGCCCAAAACGAGTTTGCCTCGCTGAGTCTTGACGCGCGTCCTCATGCGAAAAAAGCACGCGCGCTTTACTCCTGACGTGTCGCAAAGCACATCGCTGAACGCGAGTCCAAACCTTACACCGGGCGATGCGTGCGTATATTTTTTCGAATACGACAGGTCGGCATATCGCAGCGGCTGGTCGGCTCAGACTGCACTCGCGGCTGGCCCGCGCAGACTGGTGCGCTCAGACTGCACTCGCGGCTGGCCCGCGCAGACACCCAGCGGCTGGTCCGCTCAGACTGCACTCGCGGCTGGCCCGCGCAGACGCTCTGCACTCGCGGCTAGCCCGCGCAGACTCACATCGCGGCGGGCCCGGTCATATAGCGGCGGGCCCGCTCAGATTGCACTCGTGCAGGTCAGACTCCAGATGTAGACTCCACACTCCAGACTCCAGACTGCAGACTCCAGACTCCAGACTGCAGACTCCAGACTGCAAACTCCAGACTGCAGACTGCCAACTCCAGAATCCAGACTGCAGACTCCAGACTGCAGACTCCAGACTGCAAGCTCCAGACTCCAGACTGCAGACTCCAGACTGCCAACTCCAAAATCCAGACTGCAGACTCCAGATTCCAGACTGCCAACTCCAGACTGCACACTGCAGACTGCAGACCCCAGACCAGACTGCAAACTCCAGACTCCAGACTGCAGACTCCAGACTGCCAACTCTCCAGAAAAAAGACTGCAGACTCCAGACTGCAAGCTCCAGACTCCAGACTGCAGACTCCAGGCTGCAGACTCCAAACTGCCATCCAGAATCCAGATTGCAGACTCCAGATTCCAGACTGCCAACTCCAGACTCCAGACTGGATTCTGCAGTCTGGAGTCTGCAGTCTGGAGTCTGGAGTCTGCAGTCTAGAGCCTGGAGTCTGCAGTCTGGAGTCTGGAGTTTGCAGTCTGGAGTGTGAGTCTGCAGTCTGGAGTCTGCAGTCTGAAGTCCGCAGTCTGCAGTTTGGGCTCTGCAGTCTGGATTCTGGAGTTGGCAGTCTGCAGTCTGGAGTCTGGAGTCTGCAGACAGACTCGAGATTCCAGATTCCAGACTCCAGACTCCACAATGACTCCTGACTCCAGGATCCTGATCATTTTGTGGTGGAATTCGGCCACGGAGCCAAGTTAAGTTATGTTAAGTCGTGGTGACGCAACTGGGCCTCACGGGGAAAGTTTGGCAGTCAAGTTGATTGAGTTACAATAGGGACTCCACGGCTCCACACGACCCGCCCAGGTTAAGTTAAGTTAATTTTGTTAAGTTCGAAAAAACTGCACCGGCCTTTCCGGGCTTTGCGGCGGGGCTGTCTGGATGCTGGATTCTGGGGTCTGGACTGTGAATTCTGGAGTCAGGAGTCTGCAGTCTGCAGTCTGGAGTCTGCAGTCTGGAGTCTGCAGTCTGGAGTCTGCAGTCTGGAGTCTGGAGTCTGCAGTCTGGAGTCTGGAGTCTGCAGCCTGGAGTCTGCAGTTTGCAGTCTGGAGTCTGCAGTCTGGAGTCTGGAGTTTGCAGTCTGGAGTCTGCAGTTTGGAGTCTGGAGTCTGGAGTCTGCAGTCTGGAGTTTGCAGTCAGCAGTGTGGATTCTGGAGCCTTGATTGAGCCTTGCAGCCTTTCATCCGCGCACTCACAATCCAAACATGCAAAAAATCGCAAAGTGCCATCAGACCACCGCTTCAAGTGCCATCTCGAAATAAAAATCAACGCCGAAAAATTCTGGGCGGACCAGCCGCCAGCGGACAACCGCTTCAAGTGCCATCCCGAAATGAAAATGAACGTGGCAAAAATAGCTTGGCGGACCGGCCGCCAGCGGAACCACCGCTACAATGATATTTCATCAAACGAGAAAAGCAAAACGGGCGGACCGGCCGCCGGCGGAGAAACCGCCCCATGCGACTATATTAAGGCGGACCGGCCGCCAGCGGAGACACCGCTATAGAAACGATTATCGCACAACAAAATTCAACCGAGTCAATCAGTGCAAAAAATGCTCCGGCTCCATCGAGCCAAGCGTGCGAAGCAGCGCGAACAAACAGCGTAAACTGCATGCGCGCGCGCCTGCCCTGCTGTGTTGAGTCACACGAAAATGTGTGCTTTCCAGCGCGCAATGCTTCATCACTGCCATGCTTCAAAACGCATGTGTTTGCCAACTCAATGAACTTAGAATGAACTTAGCGGACTTAGAAAAACCTCTTTTCTAAGTTCAAGATAAGTTACTTATAAGTCCAAGCTAAGTGCTAAGTCACTTATAACTCCAGCGTAAGTACGACCCTATCCCAGTAGACCGACCCTAAACCACCAACCCTAAACCAGCCCTAAGGCCTACTGCCCTAATTCAGCCCTTTTCCAGCCCTCAAACCCGCCCTAAACCAGCCCTAAGCCAACCCTGCGTCTAAAGTGAACCCTCTGCGGACTTTGCTACCTTTTGGAAACGTTTTTTTAGAAAAGCTAAACCCTCTGCAGCTTTTCTGGGTCCGGACCACCGCGCCGAACCTAGGAAGAAAAAAGAACGCGCCGAACCTAGGAGGAAAAAAACACCTTCCGCCTAAGGGGTCCCTAGTTTTGGTACTCATTGGAGCGTCTCAGCATGGTAAGTTGTGCTTTCGTCGCAGCCATGCATCGGCGCGCAGGTCGCTTGGGCCTTCGCGGCCTTCGCGGGTGTGGGTTTTCTGCTGGTCTTCAGTGGCAGCTTTCTTCCAAAGCCCGCACCTTGGACGAGTCTCGCCCCGTCCGCAAACTGCCTCGTGACGCCACGAAATGCTGATGCGGCACTCAAATTCGCCATCAATTTGGCGGTTTGCGAGTGGGAAGTCTCCCAAATCAGCCGGAAAGGAGGTGCCTGGTGATCAAACACCCATGGACAAAGAGGCCGGTGGCTTCAAAGCAGGGTGTGTGTCTGTGTGTTCTCTGCTGAGTAGCTTGGATGCTCTGAGCATCCAAGCTGTTTTTCTTTCAAGACGCACACCCAAATCAAGAATACCTATCTTCCCCAGAGGAATGGCAAACTACTGCAGAAAATCTGAAATCGACAAACAACACACTTGAAGACGCTGGGGCAAGCAAAGCCGCAATGAGCTGTTGTTGGAATCAACTGTTGTTGGGCATTCACCAAAAAAACGGCATGCCGGCAGCTTAGGATCCAAACGAGAGGATGGCTGCGCTCTTCGTCGTGTGCGCTGACACAAGGAAAGGGCAGAGGAGGATGACATACAGCAAGGAACTCCGCAAAGTACTTGGAATCCTCTTGGCTTCCATTAAAAACTAAACGTTGTACCCTCCAGGACTCCAAAAACACGACAGACCACATGAATAGCAACTTCCCTTTGCAGCGCAGTTGCCGGCATGTAAAGAGACTCTTTTCTGCATTTGTTCCCAAGGGCATCTTTTCTACGTCACTGTGGGCGGCTGTTTCGCTGCCGGCTGCATCTCGGGCCTGCCGAAGTTGGAGGGCGTCGCCCTGGCGCCT